CTTTTTCCAGAGTAGTAACTGAGGCAAACTACATGTAATAGGTAATATGCACTACACAATAATATAATATTATGTAACAGAGCTCTTCCTCAGCTTATAATACATTAGTGTGTTCTTTAAATAATAATAAAAAATAATATTATATATTATATAATTGGACAATGTATTAAATATACAATTATATTGTATAAAATATATATGGTATAATATACAATATAATATAAAATAAAATATACAAAATAATATAAAGACTCATAAACATATTGTATCTGTCCTGATACAGAAGTGTATATATGCATGTGTATATATGTATTTCTATATGCATACATATATATATATATATATATTATATATATATATATATATATATATATATATATATGTATATATGTAGTCATCAGAACCTAAAACTGGAAAGGTAAGTTATAGAGGGTCTCAAAAACCAGGCTAAAGAATCTAGACTTAGAAAGTAGTGGAAATTTTTGAGCATGGAATGATGTGATCAAAGCTGTGTTTTTTTCTTTAAATCTCAATATTTAACATACAGAGTAAATTGGGACTTCAGCCTAGAGTGAGCAAAACCAGAGGTTGGAGGCTTATATACCTATCTGAGGTTGGGAGAAAACAGATTAGAATATTCATGGAAAAACTACTACACAAAAACTATTGAAGAAAAATATGTAGAAACTACTGTGAGGAAGGAAAACAATTGCAGATTTCAAAAGTACAAATATACAATGAAGATATATTGTTTATTAAAGGAGACAAGTATAACAGTACAACTTATAAAAAATATGAGAAGGAAAATAGAAAAACAGTTTTTAGGTGCATTATTAATAAGGAAAAAGTTACCTATCCACAAGATATGTATTTTAAGATTCGTGCAAAGATTCAGTCAAAGAAATAGATTATTGTGAGGTCACAGGAAAATGTAGGGTACATGATCCTGGAGGGAAAAGCCAATGTTAACTAAAGAGAAAAGGGAAGACCTTTCAGTCACATAGGTCAATATATATGTATATGTGTGTGTATATACATATATGTACATATGTAAATTTCTCTATCTATCTATCTATCTATCTATCTATCTATCTATCTATCTTAGTTAATGTATTCTTGGTGCAAGAAGTCCATAATTTCTTGGTTGAAAGAAAAGTTAATTGTACCATTATGACCAAAATGTTGTGAATATAGAAAGTAATTCGCAAAGATCTACTTTGAACTAATATTTAACATTTTATGTAATGAGATGAACCTGGTTAATAAATTAGAAAATATAATCATTAAGTTTGTGGATGATACCAATATGATAATAGGAAAGCACAGATGGTATATTAAAATTCAGAGGACCACAGACATTGTTCCAATGCCTAGAAATAAAGAAATGAAAGGCTATAGTAACAAATAAAGGAAAGATATAATATTTAGATTTTGCGTGTTCGACTTTAAAATAACTAGTTTTTAAAAGGAAAATTTAATCAACTGATTGGTACAGTTTATGCTACAGAAAAAAACACATCTGGGTGTTTTTCACTGAATCAACTGACTTTTGTTTTTGTTAATTGACTCATTTTTTCATGGTTGATGTGAGCCTTAATTTTTCCCTTATGAGAAGGTATATGTGAATGTGGCAGCATCACTGTAAACTGAGAATTGATAGTGTTCACAAGAAAATCGATCAGTTGCTTTAAAAAAAAAATACCTGTCATATCAGCAAACAAATAAGTGCATTTGCTTTATAGGAATCCCAGTGTTCCTCCATTGTCCTGATCAGACTCTTAGTATAGCTGCATATGTGTTCCTGTATTCTGCAGCTAAAGAAGGATTTCTCAAGCTTAGAGAGAGTAAATAAGTTTGAGGAGAAAGTAATAAAAGTGAATAAATTGATTAAGAAACTGGCCTGTGAGGAAATATGAAAGGAACAGAAAAGTTATCTGGAAAAGTGTATTGTGAAGGAAGACAGTGACTAGAAAAGTAGTGTGATATAGTCAGTCCATCAGTCATTAAACAGTTATTAAGTTTCTACTATATGCTAGGCATTGTGTTAAGCATTGGGTATATAAAGAAAGGTAAAAAGGACAGGTCCTGCTCTCAAGGATCTCACAGTCAAGTGATATACAAACAAACTATCTACAGGATAAATTGGAAATAATTAGCTGAGACTTGAAGGAAGCCAGGAGGTGGAAATAAGGAGGGAGAACATTTCAGGTATGGGTGACAGGCAGCCAAGGAAAATGCCAACAGATAGAAGATAGTTTTGTGTGAGAAACAGCAAGATGTCCAATGTCACTGGATCACAGAGTAAATGAGGGATAGAATGTCAAGAGCAAGAATACTGGGATGGCTAGAGGTGGGGCAGGTTATGAAGGGCTTTAAACTCCAAAGAGAAGATGTTTTATTTGATCTTGTAGGCGATAGGGAGTAACTTATTGAGTTGGAATGACAAAGTCAGACATACACTTTAGGAAGATCAATTTGGCAGCTGAATGGAGGATGGACTGGAACTGGGAGAGAATTGTGGCAGACCAATAAACCAGTAGGCTATTGCAGTAGTCCAGGCATAAAGCAGTGAAGATCTGTACCAGGAAGTTTGCCGTGTCCAAAGAGATACAGGGTATGTGAAAGATGTTATGAAGGTAAAATTGAAATGCCTTAGCAACAGATTGGGCAATAGGGGGTGAGAGAATGTGAAGAGTTGATGCTCCTAGGTTGTAAGCATGAGTGACAGGGCTTATATGGTATCCTTGACAGTAACATGGAAGTTGGAAGGGGGAAGAGTTTTTGGGGAAAGATGTTCAGTTTTGTACATGTTGAGTGTAAAATGTCTACAAGTGTATCTAGTTTAAGATATTCATTAGGCAGTAGGAGATGTGAGACTGGAAGTTAGCAGAGAAATTAGAGATGGGTAAGATTTGCAGCTAGGTGGTATAGTAGATAGAGCATTGAGCCTGGTGTCAGGAAGACTTATCTTCCTGAGTACAAATCTGGCCTCAGACATTCACTGGCTGTGTGGTCCTGGACAAGTCACTTAACCCTGTTTGTTTCAGTTTCCTCTTGTATAAAATGAGCTGGAGAAGGAAATGGCAAACCGCTCTAATATCTGTGCCAGGAAAATCCCAAATGGGGTCATGAAGTGTCAGACATGACTGAAAAATGACTGAACAAGAGAAAAGATTTGAGAGTCACCAGTATGGAGATGATAATTGAATCCATGGAAGCTGTTGAGATCACCAAGTGGAATAGTATAGAGGAAGAAGAGAAAATATCCCATCACTTATTATTTGTAGGATTTTGCATAGGTCACTTAACTTCACTAAGACTGTTTTTTTTTTCAGTCAAGAAAATGATTAGGCATTAGACTACAAGGTACTTAAGTTTCCTTCCAGTTCTAAGAGTCTATGAGTCTGCTTTGTTGGGTACATGAAGGTATCTTTTGCATAAAAGAGTTACTTGTTTTTCATCTCTATTGTAGAAAACAAGCTAGACAATTATCCAGCAAGCACATAGTGTTGGGCGATGGGATTGGTGGTGAGGTGAAGAAATCATTTCAATTTTTTTCCTGTCACATTCACTCCTCTCTTAATCATTCTTCTCTAGTTTGGAGGCCATTATTTTTTTAAAATAATAAATACCTACATATAGCAATGCCAAAAATGCTAGTTGGTATGGTGTCATTGTTTTGTCACTACTATATGATCATAAAAATATTTCATTGCTCTTAATCTGCATATAGGACAAACATACCAGTCAATCAATAAGCATTTATTAAGCACTTATGTGCCTAGGCACTGTGCTAAGTAAAATGCAAAAAAAAAAAGCATAAACATAATCCTTCCTTCAAGGATTTCATATTATAATGAGGTAGACAGCATGCACATAACTATGTACATACAAGATGTTCTGTAAGGAATCAGTCTCAGATGGCAGATACTACTTGTGTGAGGGAGGGAGCTGAAAAGGTCTCTTGAAGAATATGAGATTTAATCTGAATTTTCAAAGAAACCAGTTAAGCCAGGTAATAGGGATCTGCTATGGAGTAGAAGGGTGACACGGTCAGACCTGAGGAAGACCTTCTTCATAGCTGAGGGGAAAATGCACTATAGACTGGTATACCAACAATAATCCAGGCATATAGTAATGAGGGATTGTACCAGCGTGGCATCTGTGTGATAGAGACAAGGCAATATATCTAAGAGATGTTGTGAAGGTAAAAACAAGACTTGGCAACAGATTAAATAAATGAGATGAGTCCAAATGAAGAATTGAGGATAATACTAAGATTGTGAGGCTGAGTGACTAGGAGGATATTGGTGCTTTTAGCAAAGTTTGGAAGACAGGAGGCTTTGGGGGCTAAAGAAGATAGGTGTAGACATTGAGTAGAATGTGCTTCCACTCTAACCTTAAGAAAAAATTGCTTAAAATATCATATGGGATTAGATAGGCAAAACCGGTTGAGGAACTGAAGAAATTTTTGTTTTCTCTTCCTTGAAGGTCCTTTAAAAATAAGACAGAATACTATTTGTCTAAGATGTTAAAGAAGGAAGGCATTCTAAGGTCCTTCTAAAACCTAATTCTATGGATAACCATATTCTGCTCTCTGTTTTCATTTTGTTCTACATTTTCTTACATAATGTATCTGGAATGAGATTGGGACATATCTAGTTACAATAAAGGATATATGCTATTAATGAGTTTCTATCCTACTCTCAAAATATCATCCAATGTGGTTTATCTTGGTGAATGAAAGTTGGAATGGAAACTTAAATACTTAGGCTGGCTCTAGAAATTCAGGTGATCATTTTGTTCCTTAATGTCACACTTCAACAGACACACTTCACAGTGCAGTGAATCATGCTTTAAACAAGCAGACTTTAATATAACGACAGCAGATAGTGTAGCAGAGGTGAATAATAAGTGTTAGCAGTCTTAAGTTTTCTCTGACAGTACTCTCTCCTAGGTGCCTGATGGACAATTGATAAAGTACATATGCTTTTTTATAGATTGGAACTTGGGATCCAGCCAGTGGCCTGAACATGACGGAAAGTCAAAAGGGAAAACCTGCCAACATTACAGATTCTTTATCCAATCGCTCTTTGATTGTTACTACCATTTTGGTAAGTAATTATATCCACATTCCTTTTAGAAAAATATTGCTGTGCATAAGAGTTGAATGGAAAAGAATATTCTAATTGGGACACTAATGAACAGTATGCAATGTATTTTACACTTATTTAGCAATTACTGTATAATAGATGAGCCAATGTTAATTTAGTCACAGATTTTTATTTTGTTAGACTTCATTGATGTGAATTACTTTAATTTGTGTGCTGCCTCTGTTGATTAATAATTTAGGTTTATATGTTAACTGAAATCTTTAAATTTGTACAAAATGAGTTAAAATAGCAGTCTTTTCAATATCAGGCTTTAGGAAAATGTATAGATAAGGGCAAGTGAATAGTAGGAAATGAACTTCAGTTTTGCTTTCATTTCCTACAGATTTATTTCAGTGTCAACAGCACATTTCCCTCAATATTTTCCCACTAAAATTATGTTTTAACCTTGATCTAGTTTAATTGTTTTCATCCTGAAGAAGCACTTTTTCTTTACTAATCTTCCTAATGAAATTAAATGATTTCCCCCCCAGAAGACACATTTTCAGTAACAAGAAAATTAAATTAATGTTGATAAGCTAGATATTTTTACCTCTGTCATAATTATACACTTTAAATGAGCTCACACAATAATGATCACTTATACCTATACCACCATTTGAAAAGCAATTTTCATTTGAAGACAAAGGAACTTCTCTTCTGCAGTTGGCTGTCAGTACTTTCTACCTACTATGAAAATCTAATGCCCAAGTCTTAACATTCTTAGAAACCAATCAGGGGTAATGTGGGATTAATGTCCAAACAGCTGTCAAGTAGAAAAATTTAGATGATTGGTAAATTTGATTTATACTAACAATTAAAACCAGATTGAATGTTTTTTTCCTGTCCTTTTAGTCATGACAAGAAATGCCAGCATCATAGGTATGATAAAATATACAAGTTTAAGCATGATGAAATTTCATCAGGAAATACAACTTTATGCCAGCTGGGTTATCATGAATTGACAATGATAGAAACCATCATGTTATTTTTGGGTTTTGTTTCTGTCACTCCAGTGCTTGGGAATGATATTTGCCTACAGTAGCAAACCCAAATACCTCTGCCTAGCTTTTAAAGTCTCCTATGGTCTGGCCTTTATCTCACCCATGAAATACTTTGAGGAAGGATTCTAGGCATTTGAATAAAGTTATACAGCTCAGTTTGCCTCTGTAGCAGAGATCCCAAGGCCTCTACCCTATCATACCTCATACTAAGTGTCTGTCTATGTTAAGAACCAAGAAAGCAATCTATATTGCATTATCTTCAATGTGCCAAGCACTACTGTAATCATAGTGCCCTATTTTTCCTACGTGCTTCTTTTTATTCTAACGTCCTATTTATATGCTACTGAGATAACTCATTTATTTGGTGACTTTAGTGTGGAAAAAAAGAATCATACTATTTCAAAGTTGGGAGTGAACTCAGTCAAACTCATAAAGAATCTTTCTATAACAAAGCTTACAAGTGGTTCATCTAGCCTTTTCTAAAAGACCTATTGTGGAATCCACTATGTCCTAAAGCAGCCTATTCCACTTTTGGATATCTCAAATTGTTAGGAAGTATTTTTTTCTCCTCCTCATAATAATCTTATATTTACATTCTCTCCACCCTGGACCTAGACTTTCACCAATCATTTCTAGTTTTGCCCTCAGGGGGAGAATAAGTGTAATCCCACTTCCTCATGATGTACTTCCCTCTCTAAATTATTGGGGATAAGTGCCACAGCCTTCGTGAGTCATCTCTTCTTCAGTTTTCCCCCCATTTTTTATGTTTGTTTTTATTTTTGGTCACCAGTCCTTATATGAGTGTTCAGGAGGACTAACATTTCTGGTGTGAGGGCAAACCCTTTTCAGGGCCACTTATTCACCTTTGGTCTCCACCTGACTCACCCAATTCTCATCTATGGCTCCCAAAAGCTGTAGCAGGCACAACTGCCACACACTGGTAAACCTTCTCAGCAGACCAGCTAAACCAGGATGAGAGTAACTAGAAAGCCTCAAACCTGTCTGTGAGTTAGGGGAATGTGTACCCTAAACATGTGAAGACTTTCCCTGGCAGAATGGATAGATGAGAACAATTTGTGCCAACAGCTATGAAGGTGGCTGATGCAGGCACTGTGCAACACTTAGACCTTGGTCAAGCATCTGAGATGCCAAAGTCATCCACTACATCCCAGTCCATCACCAGTTGTCTTGACTTTTGTCCTGCCATTAGGCTTTGATGATGCAGGGAGAGTGAGGCTGAGAACTTTGTGCAACTCTGTCTCCCTTAAATCCAATTCACTTGTAAATCAAGACATAACCCTATGATGTCAATGGTTATTGACTTCAAAAACAAAGGACAAACAACAACAACAACAATAGTATCTTCACCATTCTGTCTGTCCTCCTTTGGTTGCCCTCAAGGTTATCTATATCCTTCCAAAAATTCAGTGTCTAAAATTGAAAATAATACTCCAGATGCAGAATGATAGCAATTACATTGGCATTTTTGACTACCATTTCCCATGGTATCTTATAAGTAATTCATAACAAATTTTAATTTAAATTGAGCAGTTAGTATGAGGGGGGATAGTTGTTTGAATAGCAACATGTAGGAAAAGCCTACAATAACAATTTTCTATCTTTTGTATCTTGGTTGAAAGTTAATTCTCTTAATTCAGTACTTTCCAAAGTGGGTGCCTTGAAACACCATTAAATCATCATGACCAGACTAGTGAGTCAGAGGAAATCTGGACTTTGTCTTAAGAGTGTACAACTGCTCATTCTACTGCTGCTTAGAAGCCCAGGAGCCTTCTTCATTCTACTTCCTACTTTAATCTCACTTAAAACCAAGTTACTCTTCCAAATTGACAACTAACTTCTATCATTGTAGACCCTCTGAGGGCTATAATCAGGCTCCCTAATGTGGCCAACCTACTGTAATTTTCTAATACTTTCTGATACCTCTTTTTTTTTCTTTTCCTCCAATGTAACAGACACTTTGTTTTCAAAAGCACACAACAACTTGACTTAATAAAATTGCGTATTGAAATGCCATGAGCGTTTTCTTCCTCCCTTCACTGGCCTATCCCTGGGAACACACATAATATACCTGATAAATTTAAAACATTTGCTAAGGAGACCTAGAACAAGTAATAATTTAGGAAATTATTTTTTGATAGTGTTTCATTTCTAATACCCCCTCCTGGCCTGCTTCCTGCAACTTCCACTAGCCCTGTCAGGTTGGATCCCTAGAAGGTAGCTACTGTTTCTTCCCAAAGGGTTCTAGGGATAACCCCATTACTCATAAGGCTCCATCTGGTGTTTTCTCTAGTATCAATTAAACAGTGGATGTCATTTAGTCAATCAAAGTTAATAAGGTTTTAGAAAGAAGTATTTACTACTTTGGTATCTACCAAGCATAGTTGGTAGATAGAAATGCCCTCCAAATCTAGGATACATTCTGTCCTTGCACACACTCGATCCTAGGAGAGAATGGTCTCAAGTTTAGAGAACACAACAGGTAAAAAGGGTAGCTTTTCTCCATTTGGAGAGTCTTCATGAAATTCTACTTTGGTATGTGTAGCTTTTTGATGAACTCCAAGGTTCAATGCCTGTGTAGAGTCTCAAAGTTACCTTTCCTTGGTATGTCTAGTTTGCCATTAGCTCTTGTGCAAATACTACTGTTGGCCACTGCATTATAGGGGCACTTCCACTGAAACCTATGAGAAGCCCACATCTTCTGATCTTTAAAAGTTCACAAGATCATCCTCTCTTCAAGGGGAGAGGAGTTTAATACTCTCTTGCCCCACAGACTGTTTCTATTGAAGGACTTAGCTGAAGCTACTTCACCACTAGACTTGCCTGTTATTGGAATGCTGGGTTACAAACTTGTTGGAGGTTTTATACGAGTTGCACAAGAGATAGCTGATACTCTTTGACCAAACACAAAACCTGTGTGGCATCATTTGCTTTCATTCCATTTGTTCCTACTTTGCTTTTTTGGTTGATTGATTCTATAGCTCAAAGAGGCATGGGTATCAAATAAATGTAATAATATCAGGGCATAGAACTTCTTGTTAGTTACCTTAATTATGGTTGAGTAGTATAGGGCAACACTCTTACATACTCATATAACTGTTAGATTGACTATAAGTTTGGAAAATCCACAGAGTTATGGTTATGGCTGTCTTATATGTGTTGCCCTGCCTTCTCAACCTTGTTATACTGTGAGATAACAATTGTCTATACAGCTCCATAGTCGCTTGTGGTTAACTTCCCTTTCTTCCATGTGTTTAGCATGACGACAGTAGTACGCTCATTTACTCAAAATTATGTTTCTGGCTCCCTCTGTTACTGGCACAAAATGTCCATTATATATACACATTAAATGTGTGTGTGTGTGTATGTGTGTGTGTGCACATGTGTGTGTTTATAATAGGCAACAAAAATTTGCAGAGAGTAGTTTTCTTTTTTGCTTGTTTTTAAAAACATATTTAATGACCTAACATACCTTCAATACAGAAGCTAGAAAACAATCCGTTGAAATAGGAAGAACTGGGCTAAATGAATTAGGAGACCCTTATTCATGTCTGGACTCTTCCATTTACTAACTGTTTGACTTTGGAAAAGTCTTTGTTCCTTAGTGTATTCATTTCAATAATGAAGGCAATGAGATTAAATGATTTTTGAGGTTTCCCTCTGGTATAGCACCCTATGATTTATTTAGTTGTCCTTTGCTTCTTTAGATCCACCAAATGGTATGATTTTTAGATGAGCTAACTGGCACTTAAGTTCCTATAGTGAGTAGAGTTTTTTTGTGGGGTTTTTCAATCGATGCTTATTTCCTCTCAGGTCCTCCCCCACCCCACTCCCATACAAAAACAACAACAACAAAAAAACAACGCTACAGCTCCCCTTATATGTTAAGTGCTTTCCACTATCCCTCTCTTTGTAACAATTGATTTTTATCCATTTATCCAT